GTACCTACAAGCATTATTGCATTTAGTCCTCACAACCACCCTTTGAGGTAGCAACTGCTATCCCATTTTCAAGAAAGAGGTGCAGATCTTTACCCCACACTGGGCCTCTAGTCAACCCATCTTTAACAGAACCTCAGCCCCTTTCAGCTTCTAGCATCGCTGTGTTCTCACACTGTGTTCTTATGTAGACCTTTCTGCCAGTATGGACAACCCCGCCCTGGCTCCTCCAGTTGTTGGTGGGTGAAAGATAAAGAATTTTTTAAAACTAGTTCAGAGAAGGCCAAACACTAGAGGAATGGTGTTTCAGGGCATAGTATCAGATCTTAAAGTGATCTTAAAGGAAAATCTAGTTCTGTGTTTTATAAACTGTGGGTTCCACTCTCACGGGTGGGTTAAAACAGAATTTCTATTAAGTTGAAATAAAATAAAGAAGATCGAGGGCAAGGAGCAAGGCTATGTACTGTTTCAAGGGCACATATTTTTGGTAAAAGTTGTGTAAATGAGGCCCCAGAGTAAAATGTATTTTTTTGGCTCTGTTAGAGGTCCAACCACCAAACTATTTATTCCCCATGTCAAAAGCCAAAATGATCTTTTTAAAACCTTGATTATGTCAGTCTCCTCTTGTGAAACCGTCTGTCTCAGTTTTGCGATTTCTCATGAGATTAAAAACGAAACAAAACAAAACAAAAAACGGACGAAGCCTCCCCACGAGACCCAGCCTGGTTCAGCCCCTTCCTCCCTCTAGTCTCCTGTCATGAGGTTGTCCCCGGCCACCTCAAGCCTTTGATGGTGATGCGCCCTCTACTTGGAGGGCTTTTCCCGTTAACATCTGCTGGCTCTCATTAATCAAGTTCTGCTCACATATCACTTTCTCCCAGAAGTCTCTGGGCGCTAGTCTAGCTCAGGTCTCCAGGCTATATTATATATTTGTAATGCACACTGGTTTTGTTGAGACTCATGACAACAGTAATTAAATAATTATTTAATTGCCACTTCCTAGGCAGTTAATCTCCAGCAACTCCTAGTTTTGCTTTGCTCCTAGGACACACTTAGCCACTATTTGCTCAATAAAAGAATGACTCTCCCGCCAGAAGCAAGAATGCTCTTCTCTGCAAACTTCCTCACTCCACACAATAGACTCCTAATCTTTATTGCACTGTGGAGAGTTACCACTTACAAGGCCTGAAAGATCTGCTAGCTCCCCAGGGTAAGTGATTTGGCCACAATAGCTCATTTTAGCCTCACACCTGCCCCCCAAAAGGCATTATTTTTCATATTTTCAAACTAGGAAAATGGATAATCCAGATAGTTATTCAAAGTCAAATGCAACCACTAAATGGCAAAACCAGGACTTGAACTCCAACTACAAAAACACTTAAGAACTCCTATAGCACCAGGTTGCATTCCTTTGTCTACAAATCTGCTGCTCCCTACTAGATTATATTCTTTAGAGGTAGGAACGGAGGCACAGACACACAGTAGCGCCTCAGTAAATACTTTGCTAAATGAA